GAACTTCTTACATTCTTCGCACTCCATATATAGACTAACATATTTAAGTGCGCTGTTGCCCTCAACCACACTTGGAGTGGGGGTCGTCCGTAGGTGGATTTTTGACACGGATCTTGCCCGTGTTGAGATTGCGCTGGAACCCCCATTCCCTATACTACTATCTTGGCAGGCCCGAATCTAATAATTGGGAAGCAAACAATGTATATAATCTAATATATAATATGTAATGGTTGTTGGCGTACCTTTAATTGTTTGATATCTTGACATAAATCCACTTCTGTGAATTTTGTTATTTGACGTGAATCTTACAACCAATATGTTGAATGTGGACTGGATGATCGGTGGATACCTGACATCAACGAATGAACATCACAATACAGCAATCTGTATCTTTAATAAGCACACACAGGAATGTTGCACAAATGCGGGAAATGTTTTTCTCATTTCAGACCACGTGTCAGGCATTCTCTTTAGAATAAGATTATTTGTTTGAGCCCATGGCATCCATATATAGGTTTTGCGCCATCACGTGATGGCAGGAACAAATCTGCCATCTAACCACAGGCAGTCCAAGCTGTATTATGGGCGCCCGCACGTAATTGTGCAAAACCTCTATTTATGTGTCTTCTCATGCACAACCGTTAAAAAAAGAAATAATACTCTAGGGAATGACACGTGGTCTGAAATGGGAAAACATTGCGTCCAAGGTAAGAGGTCTGTCCCTGATCGATGAATATCAATCTGCGATTTGAAAATTTTTCTGAGTTCGAGAAACAATTAGGTGCAGCGTGGTCTAGTACATTGGTTCAAACACCACATAAAGCTTAAAGAACAAAGGATATTCGTACCCAAACTATTATTACCAGAATACAACGCGGTCTTCAACTTAGAAAAGGCCTATGAAAACCCTGATTGCCCTTGCGACCAAGCCTTGACTAACTCGAAGGTAGCTGGGATTTTCATTTCATATAAACAGATGGCTTATTACCTGACTCCACAGTATCGACCAATGCGAAACGATTTCTCCATCTGTCCGTCATACACTTCAACAGAGTCCGCTGAGCACCGTGGGCTCATCTCAAGTTCAAACGCCTTTATTTCTAAACGGATCACGTGACCTTTTCTGGCTTTTATCGTCCATGTGCAGTGTGCATTGTTGCTATAGTAACCGGGGTAATACGGTGAAAGGATGTATCCTGTATCGTTGGTGAGAATTTCGTTGCAAGCTTCGTATCAAGAAAATTAAACGAGTCAAGATTAGGTAATTAATTAAAACATCTTTTGCTGGTATTCAAAATTAAATTGATTATCTTTGTGAAAGTTCGACTAAGACCCCATCCACACTATGCCGGATAAATTTGAATCCGCAACTTTCACACCGAAACCGAAAAAAAAGTTTTCCGTCTACAGATGAAAACGAATAAAATGTTTCGCGTCCACACTAGTCCGATCAGAGGCGGCAAAAACGCTTCATTGCACATCTGAGCATTTGCATCGAAGCTGAAATTGAGCCTGCGGTGAATTTTTAGCCTTCTCGCCATGACAGTCATGACGTCATCGTATTCGAAAAATTTCGGATGCGAAATGTTCTCCGTCCACACTAATACGGCTAGCCGGCGTTTTCAAATTGTTCCACTCTGGAGACCGTATTCGAAAAAATTCGTTTTCGGTGAACAATTGTTCCGGATTCGCCCGGACTAGTGTGGACGGTTGGCCTAACCGAATAAATAAAAATTCGGATTCAAATTTAACCGGCATAGTGTGGACGGGGCCTTAAATGCGCCTGTTATGAGACATGACTTCCGGTGCATGGAATTTTGATGCCTATTCGTTCTGGACTACCTTTGGTTTGTAAGGGAGATTATTATAGCGCCCTCTCTATGTGTATATACCACCCCATATTGTTTTACCTTGATCTGCAGTCGTAGGTAGGATACTACAGTATCCCTCTGTGGCATACAGTGCTCCTATCGATAATAATCCTGGTGCATTCGTAGTCTGGCCCTCTATAACAAGCTGCAAAACAATGCAAATTTATAATATATTAATATCATTAAATCAACGTATTGACTGAATCACATGACCACCTCTCGAGGGTAGCGTATAAAGTATCGACTTAGGCCTAGCGCAAACGTCGAACTTTCCATGCACCGAACTTAATTACATCAAAGAATGCCGCCTCATTATCACCTGATATCCATTGTTTTTAATGAGTTCGGTGCATGGAAAGTTCGACGTTTGCCCTAGGCCTGAATTGGAAATATTTCACCTTATTGTACTTTTATTAGTAGTTTGTGTGTATCCATCCTACTATAAAAAAGTGTTATATTTTAAATTTCATGATTGGTAGGAATGAAATAATCATAAACTTCACTCTAGATATAACCCAACATGGCAGTGAATGCGTGACCTACAAGTGTCTAACTAATTTGCTCTTAATAATAATTACTTGATATCCCATCACAGCTGTTAGTGTCACTTGTCCTTCCCGCCATCCTCTCGTTCCGTTATCATTATCCATCCATACTGGTCTCCATGGAAACGCTTTGTTGTCTAGTTTTTGATATAACTTTAGTGCTTTCGCTCCAGGTCCCCACAGCTTGTATCTGAATCTTAAGCATCTCCCAGGAGATTCCGATGACCTTCCGTATCGCGGGCTCATGATCAATGCCGTTTGGTTTCCAGTTGGTAATCCAGACTGTCCAGTGACGACACTCATTACGTTTCCTGGGAATTATGGGTAAGTTATATCAATATAGCTGCAAAGTGACAATGTGACGCGCCATGGGTGTAGGGGTGCGTGGTTTTTTGGGCCCTTTACAAGGGTATACACTTATTTCAATAATGTTAGTCACCAAAAACCTAGAAAGCTGAGATCACTGAGCATCATGGGAAACTTTTCATATCAAAAAAGCATATATATACAAAGCTTTTTTAATACAAACTGCAGCTCGATGATGCTCAGAAGAGGTGAGACTGTAACCTGTAAAAGATTCGCAAGTCCATGAACAGTTATCAAGCGGTTGAGCGTGTAAAATGAATCTACCCATAATCCTGGTCGGCCTCAGCTTTATAGCTTTTCAGGTGACTAACTTTATTGAAATAAGTGTATGCAATGGGCCATAAAAAACAAGCACCTTATAAGAAAGGGGTAAGTGAATTTGCACACTCTGGGCCGGGTTGTTCAAAGCTGGATTAGCGCTAATAGGTCTCTATAGGTCTTATTATAAGAGTTAACCCAGGATTAGCACTAATCGGGCTTTGAACAACTGGGCCCTGGAGTATAGGGGTTAAATCGCTAGCTAAATTTTAAATATTTCGCTTGTAATCTCTACTCCTTTCTCTTAATTAAATATCGACAAGCTAAGAGATATATTAAAAACTTATCTGGATCAGATTAATCATCATTGTTCTTTTTGTTATATCTTTCCACAGGGTATTCGATCTAAATACTTGACCTTGTTTTCCAATACAAGTAGACCTGTATTCTGTAACAGGATCGTCTGTGACAACAGAGATATTATTACGATATTGATCCCACTGCACTAGAGTCCCATGCTCTTGTCCACATTCATATGACATGTATAGAATCTCGTGTTCTGTCAGATCTCTGCCCCACATGTTGAGTCTACTGAACTTGACCAGGGTGTTTGTTGTATTAGATTCGAAGTTTATCTTCATCATGACATCTGGAAGAGAAAACTAGATATATCAAATGGTTATAGTGCTGCTCGTCTTCATGATATTTTAAAGTAACCGACTCCGTTTTCAGTAGTACTGTTTTCATAACTACTAGCTGCTACACAGGTAGTCTTCCACCTGCTGATGTATGCACGTATGCAAGCTGATATAGCTAAGGATTAGGTAAGATATAAACAAATGAACAAAAAAAAAAAAAAACAGAAATAAATTAAAACTAAACAAACAAGAAATTCAACGAGCAAACAAATTAAAAAACGAACAGATGAAAGACTGATCGAGACAGACTAATGATTGAACAGAGGGATGGAAGGATGGACGAATGGACGGATGAACAGATGGAGGGATGAACGAATGGATGGATGAACAGATGGAGGGATGAACGAATGGATGGATGAACAGATGGAGGGATGAACGAATGGACGGATGAACAGATGGACGGATGAACGAATGGATGGATGAACAGATGGAGGGATG